ACCGCTCTTTAAAGGCACTGAAGATGAATCACTCATTTAGCAACGATTTTCATACACTATCTAAGTATCAACTTTTGTTGAAAGAACCATGTGAGTGTAGTAGGATTTTAAAAATAAAAAAAAAAAAAAAAAAAAAACCTGCACATGACGTGTGCTGAAATCTAGAAGTATCAGGACCTCCGGGGTTTTTGTCATAAAACTAAGGGGGACTAGAGTGTTATAACCCCCAAAATATAAAGCAGGTATCTGTAATTTATCAAAAAAAAATTAGCAAAGGTTAATTCTAAATCCAATCAACCCCTTAGTCCATCATTCATTGGGTAATTGGATCATGGTTTTTCTATATCAACAAGAAGAACCGATAAACCACGTCAGAATCAAAACTGAGATATGGAGTGGGTTTTTTTGGTACTCGTGTTCCTAGGGCTATTAAACAGAGACTGGATTCAATCTTCACAAAACGTTTCTCACACCCGGCTCACAGCCTTTTTGCAGCCGTGCATATAGAACATCTCCCTATTTGTATGAGGGGGAGATATTTACAATGTACAGCTGCAAGTGGCGGTGAGCACGGCAGTGGTGGGAGCCGGGAATTTTCTTTTGGGGATCAACTCAAACAAAAAATATGAGGAAGGGAGTAGAAGAAGTAGGGTTTAAGGGAAAATTGCCTGAGAAGGTTTGGGCTGTGCTGCCCGCAGCCCGGCACAGCATGGTACAATAACACGTGGGCCATGCCAGGCCCAACATGATGGTCCAAGTTGTGTTGGGCCCGGGGTTCCAGGTCCACGGGCCGCTCTTGGCCCGCCTGATTCCCTCAACAGTTATAAACAGCTATATGGGGGTATTTATGTATTTTGGTTTTGGGGGGAGAAAGAATGACACAAATGCCCCCCAACAGCTATACAACAGATAGCTTGGGGGGCCATTTTGGGTAAAGTGATAAATAACATTACAACAACCAAATACCCCTCCCAACAACTAAAATACAGCTAGTTTTTAGAGTATTTTGGGCAATTGAATTGTTTTCAATTCCTATAAATAACACTATCATCCACCATTTTCATCACACCAATTCAATAATTCTCTTAATCCCTTCTCTAGTTTGCATACTCTCTAAAGTCTCAATCTCTCATACATTCTCTGATTCTTCAATTCTCAACTTTATTGAAGTTTCAACAAGAAGAATCGCTCAATAGCTCAAGTATTTCAAGTTAACAATTTGGGAGGCTTGGATTCTTGGAGTTTAAAGACTTCAACTGTTGAAATCAAATTAGGATTCCAAACCTCTGGGTAAGTGCAATTGAATTAATTTTTTTTTTTAGAATTTAAAAAAAGGGTTTGCTCCTCCCGAAACCAACTCCCCAACATATTCAATGTCAACGATATTCAATCACAGCATGGTAGTGTTAGTACCGATATGGATGCTATTGATATTGACAAGACTTTCACCCCTAGTAAAGATACTAGGGGAAAGAAAAAGAATGTCATTAAGTTGATTAGCCCAATTTGGAAAATATTTAAAGTATATGAGGTTTAGGAGAAGGGAAAAAAGAGTTGTTTGCCAAAAATGTAGGAAAGACTTTAGTTATTGTAGCAAGGATGGTACTRGCCATTTGAGCAGACATTTGCTCACCCATTAGAAAGAATAAGAGAGAGAGAGAGAAAAAAAAACAATACAAACACAAATTAGGTGGGGGTTTTGGTTCTTTTAAATATTCTCAATAAAAAATGAGGCAAGAATTAGCACAATACATTGTACATGCTCAACAACTATATTTTGTTAGTTGAAGATACTAAACTTGAAAAATGGTTGCGTAATTCTGTAAATCCACAATTTAAAAAAGTTTCTATGAATACTATTAGATCAAATGCTTTAAAAAAATTTTATTCTTATAAACAAATTTTAATTTATAAGCTATCAAATCTTAATTCTAAAGTTGCAATTACTTCTGATATTTAGATTTCTAAATTTAACAAAATTTATATGTGTTACCGGTTGTTTTATTGATGAAATTTGGCTTTTAAATAAAAGAATTTTAAGTTTTACTAAGCTTGAACGGTCACATACTAGCCCAGCTATTGCTGCAAGTATTTTAAATACTTTACATGCTTATAGAATTGACAATAAATTATTTTCTATTAGTTTTGATAATGCTAGTAATAATAATTCAACAATAAATATTTTAAAATCTCAATTAAAACCATATTTAAATGGTAAATTATTTCATATCAGATGTGCATGTCACATCTTAAATTTATGTATTCAAGATGCTTTAAATATTATTTCTACTCATATTTCTAAAATTAGAAATTGTATTATATATTAAAAGTTCTGCAACAAGAAAACAAGAATTTAAATATTTAATTCAAAATTTTGGTTTAAAATATAAACATTTTATATTAGATGTTAAACATAAGTAGAATTCTACCTATGCTATGTTAGAAAGTTGTGTTTCTCACAAACAAATTCTTAGTAATTTTTATAATGCAAAAATGCCTACTGATATTATATTTGAGAAAGACTGGGAAATGACAATTTGTATAAGAGATTTTTTTTAACATTTTTATAATGCAACTAATGAATTATCAGGTATTTATTATCCAACTAGTTGTAATTTAACTTATCAATTAATGATGATCAGTGATTGTTTTGCAAAATATAGAAAGAATAAACAATTTAAAAGTATTGTTGAAATAATGAAAAATAAAATTAAAAAATATTGGGAGAACATTTCTCCTCTTTATTGCTTAACTACAACATTAGATCATAGGATTAGTAAAAATGGTTTAGATATTTTACTTGAAACATATTGTGAAAATATGAATATTGCAATTGAAAAGAAAAAAGAAAAAATTAATAGTTTATTATTTGAAATGTATAGTTTATATGAATCTGAAGTAACAAAGAATAATAAAAATTCTTCAACTTGTATAGTTGCATCTTACACTTTTGAACTTGAATCCAATAATGGAAGAGAAAAAACTTTTTTATTTAATAAAAGGCATAAATCCACTTAAATTTTTATTTACAGTTTTTTTTACTTTAGGGATTCTTCCTTCACCTAGGAGGGAACAAAAAATTTTGATATTTTAGCCTAGTAGAGTGAACATGTAAAGAATTATCTAGTTCTTGCCACCATGGCACGTGATCTACTAACCCCTCTGCTACCTACAGTTTCACCGGAGTCTTGCTTTAGTGCAGGAACTAGGGTGTTGGACGACAAGAAAAGTTGTATGAATTATACAAGTCTAGAGATGTACATCTGCTTTAAAGATTAGTTAGATGATGAAGATAAATTACAAGACAAAAGAGGGCATGACACTACACCTGATGTTTCACCTGAAGCATATGATCAAAGTCAAAAATAATAGGAGAAAATGGTGAAGTCAATATTTTTTGTATACTCGATAGTTGTATAGCATTTTTTCAAATTTTTGTAAATCTTGTTTTAATTTTATTTAATTTATTTGATATTTTTTAGTAATGTAATTTTTTATTTTAAATTTGTAACTATATTGTATTTTTTATATTTTATTAATTTATTCCATTTTCCAATTTTCATATTTCATTCATCCAACCATTGTATGCTTTGTATCATTCACATTTAAATGAAATAAAATTCCTATTTTTCTTCCAATTTTTTATTCACTTTGAGTCTTTGTCTCTTTGACTTATTTTGTTAAGTATTTTTTTCATTTCTTTGTTAGATTCTTTATTTTTTCAAATAGTTCCCAAAGGTCAAAGGAAAATTAAATATTTTAATTTTACTTAGTAAAGAAATAAAAAATAAAAAATGTCAAAAAACAAAAAAAAAAAAAACAGTCTGACGCGGTTCGACCCATGCCGAAGGCCCGACCTATGGCCCAACCCGACAAGGCCTGTAGCCCGCCCAGCCTAGGCCCGCGACACGACACAGACCCACACGGACTTGGGCCATGGGCCATGCCAAGCCGACCCCCCAAATTATTCCTAGGGAGGGCGGCATGGCCTAGGACGGCCCGCACTTTGCACGGGCCACAGGCAGGCCATGCGGCTAGGACCATGGTGTGAGGGCAGTTATGATGACTGAATATGATTTTTATTAAATGGGGTAACCCAACCCATACAGCATCCTCACAGCAGACCCCAGCCGTGCGTTGGAAACATCATTCCATGAATGATAGCATCATGTACGGGAGATATTCTCAATGGCATGCTTGCGATGAGTTGTGAGGTTGGTGATGTGAGACGCACTCTATGAGGAGCAAATCCGATGTCCATACCCTTACCCCCCAACCTTGATGGCAGCTGGATTTGATCACAATTCACAAGCTTCTGCTACCAATAGCCAGAGATCCCACCATCAGTTTGTTTTTTGTTTGTTTTTCACTTTTTTTAGCTTCATGGGGCTACACAACCCGGGGGTAGCCCATCCCACATCCCCTTAAAACCCCCCTAACCCTGGTGACAACGAGATTTGATCTCAAGTCTCTTCCATCAGTTGGTATTGTGGAATGGATTTGTTCACCCATTGACAGAATTGAGGAAGAATTTGTTCTCAACCACACAATACATGTTACCTTTACATGGGGCTAGGGTGGGATAAGAACAAGATGCACATGAGGTACACTAACCTTACCACAGACAACCTGCAATTAGGGATACAAGGACACAACAAATATCTAGATGGTAAGATGTTTACCGGATTAATATGTATTTTGAGTTGTTGATGAATGCTGCTCAGTTTTTTTGCCTTGGATTAGCATATTACTCAACTTTTCCGATGACCATGGCAATTTCTTCTAGAAATTTGATTTGCCTTCAATCTCTATGGTAATTTAAATTCTTTTATGCAGCCCAACTTCCTGAAATTATGACGAGTAGATCCCGGGATGAGGAGCGAAGCTTGTGATGATTGATGAAAACTTAGGATGACGAATTGCTCCTTCCAATTGCTGCCTCCCCCATATTTCTGATAAAGTGATAATGAAAAATTCATGTATTAATTTACACATGGAGATACCGATGGATGCCATGCATAAATTACTGTACATAGGTAATAAGTTACACGACTCACATCTACCAACGTCTTCACAAGGAAAGAGAAGTGCACTGATTTGTTTGTAGAACGTGCCAACAAGCGTTCACCAGCATACAGCATTACAGCACTCTGCTAATTCGAGCATCTATAACAGGCACCTTGGAAGAATGATCACAGAGTTCCAGTGCTTCTGCCAGTGACAGCCGACTGTTTTTCCATGTAGTCTCCGCCCACTTCTTCATCTTCTCTCCTTCTCCTTTTCTGTTCTGTTGCACACATAGAGTTTCTGCATACCCACCTTAAAACAGGCAGCAATATTAGTTTTGCACCAACAGCAACATTAGTAGCCTCAAAACTGTAACACATGAAAGAAAATTTGCAGATAGAAAGACAAGTTTAGACACCAAGTAGGTAGTCAGACAACTATTACCACACTTAGATTTTGAGTTGTGAAGATCCGGCAAAAACCAGGCACAAGCAAGCCTTTTTTGGGGAATCTTCATAACTTGAACAGGATTTTATTTCAATATCATATCCTAGTACTACACCTCCATATTGTTCACATGGCAATATATATTCAGCAATTTGGACTTGTAACAACTTTTTTATAACTAAATAAAATATATTAGTGAGCCAACAAAAGGTTTGGTACAGAAGGTAACCAAGGAGGACAGTAGTCCACATTTATAGCACCTACATTCTTAACATACTGACTTACATAATGAGATTGAGCATTAAGATCACATTTAATATAACAAAAAGATACTGGCCCACACTCTTGACTTAAAGACTTGACTTCTAAAAACAAACTGACTCATTGCCAAGGATAGAAGCAGAAGACTGTAAAGCTTGAACAACCAGCTCAGAATCTTTTTTTTTTTTTGGTAAATAACCAGCTGAGAACCTGAACAAATAAACAGATGAGTCTATCCCTCAGATTTGGTTATGTTAGGTCAGGTCAAGGGAAAACCATAACCTGACCCCTATCCTCAAGGTGCTCAAATGACCTCAGAGAAGTATAATTAACTTGCAGTCCAGATCTCCTACCCACAGGACACCACAGCCATACATCGGGAACATACCCATGAATGACAACATAAGTACAGGAGATGTTCCCAATGTGCGGCTGTGGTGTCCTGTGGGTAGGTTATTCAAATGCAATTTACTCGGTTCGGGTTCAATCAGGGGAGACTGTAACACAAATATCATTTGGTGAAAGGTCCAATATCACTTCAATTAAGAAGTCCAACAAACCAATAAACCTCCATGTGCCCACTTAATTTAGGGCTTAAAAGGAGACACTATGTTCCCTTGTCACATCCTAGGCTTTGTTCATGGAGTAAATTTGAGCAAAAAGACCTCAGCATATGTTAAACACAAGTCCTCCCTAGACCTTGCCATGTTCCCTTATGATGCCTCTATTTCTCAGTTTCTTATTCAATCCCTAGGCATCAAAGAATAAATTTTAGCAGAAGGCCTTGTCATGTTCCCTCAACGTTTTTTCGCACAATGGTTGCTTCAAATTAAAACATGCATTCTCATGCTTGTCAGCCCAAGATTTTACAATTGCTCCAAGCAATGGTCCCAAAACTATCAGACAAAAAAGAGAGACAAACAAGGCCTCTCTATATAGTGTAATAGATACAGTCCTTTTCTTGCAAAGCCATACAGTATCATGCCTCGTACTTCCACATTTTAAAAGTTGAGGCCAATGTTAGGTAGGATGCTAGCATTAAGTAGATAATAATCTGATGGAAAAAAAAAAAAGCTCCTTCATATGTGCCCTCATTGAATCAATATTCAATAACTAATCCATTTTAGAAAGAGCAAATGTACATGAGAAACCATACAAACAGCAATCTGTAATACTTGAAACATGACATGATAACTTATGTTTTGTCAAAATAAGTGCTGACAGATGGCTGATGCATGCAAGCAACAAGGTGACCAAGATGGCTAAATTCAGGAAATATATACATAAGATATACTTTAGGGTAAAAGACTTACACATACCCTTAGTTCTCATAAATTGACTTAAACATACCTGAATTTTTAAAAAAGACTTAAACATACCTTGTGACTCTTTTACCCTTCATTTTTTTCAAATTTTCAAAATATACCCTGAATTGAACCAGCCGAAGTTACAACCCTTTTAATGATAGCAGCCACCTATTGGAAATCAGGCTTATACCCATCCAACAATCATAACAATCCAGGAACTTTATCATTAGGGTCAATAAATTAGTGCAAAATGTGTGGTATAGGATGCACAGATAATTATCCACAAAGTGACTAATCAAACAACTTTAGAACAACTTTATGTCAACATATTATCGTGCCTAGGATGTTATGCATGAAGCATGAACAGAACCATCTAGATTATAAGTTTTACCTCTTGCCAGGGCTGTTATATCTCTTCTATCTACCTTCACTTCTGCATCTGTACCAAACAAAGCAAATACCATTTTGGATTAATATTACAAAAATGGAGAAATAATTTCTAAGCAGGTCAATTAGGAAATCTACCTAGATGATCTAAATCATTTATAGACATGGAGGAATGCTTTGGCCAATAGAACAGTAAATTGAATAGGGGACCTTCTGCATCAGCAATGTGTTCATTCACCAAGTACATATAAACCCTATGCCCCACATTGTAATGGAGTTTTTTATCAGTAACAGTCAAACATTTTATTGATATGGCCAAAATGTACAGCAATGTGCCAAGCACACCTCTAGGGTAGCTATCCATGATCCACCCTTATATATTTTGTTATGATTCTGGAGCTTTGCATGTATTGTTATGAACTTTCCAAAGTTGTAATATTTTAAATTGAAAATTGCCAACAATAAGGGGCTCATTTTGGGGAAGTGGGATTTTTACTCTGAACTAACCACATGAATTGAGAGAGGCAAGAGCATAGTTGTCAAAGGCAACTCCTAGGCGGACACCTAGGCGATAAGGTGCTCATGAAGGATCACCTCACTTGATCACCAAGATATTTCTTACACAATACTCTTGGATACTGTTATATTCTTAACTTTTTGAATTATAATACATAAAATAGACATTATTAAACTAAACTATTCAATTTAAGTAAAAATACTAGTTTCTTTTTTATTATTTTTTCTCGTTTGTTAAAGTTCAATTCAATCAACATGTACACTACCTTGAAACCTCAAAGACTTCAAAACTTGAACTAATTAGCATGGAAGAACTCCAAGTTTTATCCAATCAACACATATTAGTTATTTTCATCATCATAACCTTCTTCTTCTTCTTTCACCCTTTCTTTTCTTTTCTTCTTTTCCTAATACAAAAATAGAGGTCCAGCCCCTCTATTTTCTGAAATTTCTTTTCATGCTTCCATTTTTTCATGAATATGTTGATTTTCTATGTTTCAACTGAAGCTTATAGATTTTTTTATGAAGATTATAGACAATTAATAGCAAAAGATGGTTGTTGCTTAATAAGGAGCCTAAGGAATTACCCTAGAATTCATGGATTTTATTCAAAAAAAAAAAAAAAAACACCTAGGAAACTAGGTAACAATTAATAGTGAAAGATGGGTTTTATTCAAAAAAAAAATCACCTAACCTTGCCTCAACGCCTTGACCTCTAGGGTCCACTGTCATACTTTGACAATCAAGAAATTAAAATGTGGAGCAATGAGTTGGCATGGTCACAACACTTTCTTTTGACCCTCCAATAAAACACAACATGCTATCAATCAAATGAAAAATCAAATCACCTAATGAGTGCCTGCCTATGTTATTTGGTTTCAATGTGTTCACATGGTTACAAAACTTCCTGCGATCCTATAATAAAACACAAACATGCTATCAATCAAATGAAAAACCAAATTATCTAATGAGTGCATCTTATTGTTGCTACCCACTAACATATGAACATATAGAAATTGCCTCTAAGGTCTAATACATTTACTATGGTGCCAGCACCCATTTTTTGCTCAATCCCCTCTCCAACCCACTTTTCACACTTCGGACACCCAAACATCAGCTCAAATACCCTTAAATACACCATTAAATCCACAAAATTCCCTTCCAACAGTCACAATTGTGCCACATCGCCCTACCTCTCAAACAATCAGACCCCGTCACATGAAGAAAAACCTTTAAACAACCAATCACACCAAATTCCAGCCTTAAATTCCTTGATTTTGTCACTCATCCGTCAAAGATTCCATTTCGACGAAGTTGATACTACGATGCTTCTCAAACCTAAAGCATGCAATCCATACGTCCCTAACATGATCAAACCCTCTAAACAGCCTCATAAATCAAATTCATGCCATTCCACCAAAGTCCAACTCAAAATTCCTCCATCTGCCCATCCATCAAACGGAGGTTTTCTTCTAGGCTCTCTCGCATGTCCAAATGTCTGTACCAATCAAGCCCTATCAATTCATCCAAGATACAAAAACACCATCCTACAAAATTTCAGCTCAAAATTCCTCCATCTGCCTGTTCATAAAACAAACATTTCATTTCAAGCCTTTTCAATGGTTGGACCGCCCATACCTCTAATTCCCCTAATCATAACACATTGGAGTGGATTGCCAATTCATCGAAGGCCCTCAGAAATACCATCCTACAAAATTTCAACTCAAAGTTCCTCCATTTGCCCATTTATCAAGTGAAGATTCCATTCCGAGCTTTTTCATTAGACGAACCGCCTATACCTCAAATCCCCTTGATCTAAGCATTGTTGGACCGATCTGACCCCAACAATCAATCTGGAATACCCAACAACCCCACCTTGCCAATTTCAGCCAAAAATACCCCCGTTTGCCCACTTATCTAAAAAGATTCTATTTCGGTCAATCTCATTGGCCCAAACGCACAAAACCTCCATGTACACTCACACCCATCTCAACCCTTCACACTTGGACCCAGAATCCCCACCATCAAATCGGAATTTCAGTTTGACCTCTCTAAAGCCCAAATGACCAAAATACCCCCCTACAATTTCAAAAATTACCAAAATACCCCTAAAATTCTCCAAAATTGTGAAAATGCCCTAACTGCACTAATATAATTAAAAACTGAATCCACTATTCACCTCAGGGGGGGACCTTTTGACACCACAACGAACAAAGGTGGTTTCTCTCTATCTGAACTCTTTTCTTCGAGTCTTTCCCACATTTGCTTTGTTCTCTATCTTTCTCTTTCTCTTTCATTCTCCTTGAAATACTAAGATAGCCTAACATCTTGAATGATGAATTCGCATGACTACAACACTTTCACGCAACCCTCCAATGAAACACAAGCATGCTATTAATCAAATGAAAAACCAAAGCATTGAATGAATATTATGCCTAGGTGATTTGGTTTTGATGAATTCACATGGTCACAACACTTTCTTGCAATCCTATAATAAAACACATACATGCTAACAATCAAATGAAAAATCAAATCACTCAATGAGTGCACGTCTTTTTCCTACCCTAATACAAAAATAACCTACTAACATATGAAAAAATGGAGACTACCTCTAAGGTCTACTACCTTGCCATGATAATCAAGAAATGCCAAGGTTGCCTAATATGTGTTGTGATTTGTTCACTTGATCACAATGTTTTCTTGTAGCCTTCCAATAAAACACTAACATGCCATCAATCAAAAGAAAAAACAAATCACCCAATGAATGCATGCCTAGGTGATTTAATTTTGATGAGTTCACATGATTACAATGCCTTCTTGTAAACCTCCAATAAATCATAAACATGCTAACAGTCAAATTTAAAACCAAAACACCTTGTGAGTGCATGCTTAGGTGATTTGGTTTTTATTAGTCCACAACTCCACATGATCACAATACTTTTTCACAACCCTCCAATAAAACAAGCATTTTATCAATCAAACAAAAGACAAAATTACCCAGTGAGTGCATGTTTGTTATTGCTAATCCAAGTGATACATTACCCGCTATCATATTATAAATTGGAGACTACCTTTAGGATCCACTACCTTACTAGGAATCATAATAATCATAATACTTTCTTATGGCCTCTAAAAATCTCAAACATGCTATAAGCCAAAGGACAAACCAAATCACCCTGTGAGTGCATGTCTGGGTGATTTGGTTTTCATGCATTCACACAATCGCACAATTCCTTCCAACTATCCAATAAAATACAAACATATTGCTATCAATCAAATCAAAAACTAAATAACCCAGAAAAGGCATGTCTACTATTGATAGACCAACTGATACAAGAACAACCCAGTATCATATAGTAGAAATCACTAATTGTAGATTTAGTTGAGTTTCTTGTGAAAGGAAAAGGGGAGGAAGATAAAGATTTCAGTAGTAGAGAAGAAAAGGGAGGGAGAAAAGAGTAGGAAGTCAACCAGRATTCTTAAATTAACCCTAGCCGCCAACCCCTCATTATATTTATACTTAACTTAAAGGATGAGATATTACAAGGATGCCCTTTATACTCTTAACTTTCTGATATTAATAATAATAAGAAAGGAATTACTAAACTAAATTATTAGTTTGAGTTAAAATACTAGTTTCATTTTATTATTTTTCTTATTTGTTAGGGTTCAATCAAGATGTATAATGTCTTGGACCCTTGAAGGCTTCAAAACCTGAACTAATAAGCATGGAAGAACTTAAATTTTTGTCCGATCAACACATATTGATTTCCTAGGAAAAAAATAAAGGCTCAGACCCTCTATTTTCTAAAATTTCTTTTCTTTCTTCCATTTTTCATGAATATGTTGGTTTTCTATGTTTTAAATGAAATTTATACATTTTTTATGAAGATAATAGACAATTAATAGTGAAAAATAGTTATTACCAGCTACGGAACCTAGGGAATCACCCTAGGATTCATGTTTTTTATTCAAAAAAAATCTCACTAGGTGGCAAGGCACCCCCCCCCCAAAATCGCCTAGTCTTTCCTTGGTGCCTTGAAAACTATGGGCAAGAGAAACTGGCCCTTTGTGGACTGACTGGACTCCCACCATGTTGCCACATGGAAGGTTCCTAGATCATTTAGACCAACAAAAACCTAACTAGCAAAACCTTCTTCTTATACAGTGAAAGATAATAAATAAATCACAAATGTTGAATTTCTAAGCCAATTACTATACCTTCGGTCTCTATAGGTGGAGCTTTTAGCAAGTCTATTGCCCTTCTGTAGAGTCCCTGTGGATAACATTTTCAATAAAAGATTAATTATATAACCCACCATTATAAGCAGAGAATTTAAGAACTCAAGCCAACTGATGGGAGTTTGTAATCAACTAATTGAATTAACTGAAGAAGTATCTAGAAAATAAATTTAGACATCACAAACCACAACTGTGCCAACTCCAGCCTATCAACTAAGCTTCTGAATTGGAATTGATGAAACCAGTTTACAAGAGATAGCTTCATGTGACGAAGTGTAATGGTTTTTTTTTTCTTTTTTGGAAAGATCCAGGAAAGAGAAATTAAATTTTAAGGCTTGTGATGGTTAAGGGAAGCATCAATGTCAACCTCTTGAATCAAAATAGAACTTGAGTGCTCCATCTTTGCTTTCTTCCGGAACATGAGAGCTATAGAAGTTAGGATGACACCAACCTTTGGATGATGAGAGCCTACATCAAATGATGAAATAATTCAACAAATAATAAAGAAAGAATGACATCTTAATACACATCCAACATTTTATTCTTTAAATAGCTACTTTCTCAGATATGGTGTGGATGCATACTCCATTTTAATGTTGAAGTATCTCACACCATTTTTAAGTATCAGACTGTCAGAGTAGCATTGACAAAATAGGACTCAATCATAAAATGCCAAAAATGATTCAACCAAAAAAAAAAAAAATCTCATTAACAACACCAAGGTAAAGTGACAAACCAAAATGCTGTTCAGCTTTTGTTAATGCTCTTGTCAGTATCTCCTCTGCATTAGCAAAATTTCTGAACGAAAAGCATGATTAGACTTTAAAACCCATAAACATTAAAAAAATGACAGAAGACACAGAAGTATAAACCACAACAAGGTTTAATAAGTAACCTGGGGCTTACCCAACATGTGCTTCAAGCTGACCCAAAGCACAGGTAGCCCCTATGAGGACTTCCTCTGATTGCATATTAGAAGCTTCTAAAGCAAATGGACCATCAATTTCAGACACCCCTTGAATTGCCTTCTCATAAAACTGCTTTGCCAATGGAAAATTTCCAGTGGCATGTAAGAGTTCTCCATATGGGAGAGCAACATTTCCTATAAACCACAAAATCAAAACACGGTTGAGAACAAAAATAATGCATTTTGTCCTCCCCAAGAACTGAGCTCTAACAAAAGAAACTCACCAGAGCAACCTTTATCCTCCTGAAATCCTGAAAAGTAAGGCTCTGCTGTAAATCAGAAGCAGAGAGTCTTTCAATCATATATACAAACATGAAATGCACGATGCAGCAAAACAAAAGAAGTCAATGTTTAGGTGGTTACCTGATTCAATATTACCAAGCACAAGCTGAACTAGACCCTTAACGGCTTTAGCCCGAGTTTCTAGAACCCCAGATTCATCCCTGTCACCATTTTCAGGCCCGTTTCTTTGCAACAATTGCAAGCATTTATCTGCGAGCACTGACGAAGTATCATCCTATATAGGGAGATGGGTTGCCAAATGAAGTTATAAATTATAAAAACAGATTATGCAAGGAATGCTAGCTGAGACAATTTTAACGACGAACCTGCCCCATCTCCAAATGGAGTCCGATCAACCCTTCCAAGGCAGCAACTGAACAACGTTCAATCGTAATAGATGGTGAATACCTAACTTCTCATCCGAGAAAAAGTAAAAATTTATAAGGCCGATTGGAAGAAAGATACCTCTAATTCCCAAATAAGAGTGGGTCAGATCTTGAACTTTCTCGAGTTTCTCTATGGCTTCATTAATACTTCCTCTATGGATATGGAATAATAGTGTTAGATATCTTAGATATCTTCTAGTGATTTAACGGGAAAAAAAAAAGAAAAGAAAAGAAAAACAAAAGGCTGTATCAACGTAGTGGCTTTTCGGTTCATTGATACCGACCTTTCCGATAGCAAGGAAGACATGGCAAGGAGAACCATCCCCCCTGCGTTCTCACTTGAATTATCCGATCCCTCGCGTAGGTTAGAGGAGAGACACTGCTCCAAAACCAGAAGACCTTGTGCGTACGATTCATCTGCAAGTGAAGTGTTGCAGTTATTAAAATTATTAGCTTATAGAAAATGATGAGGGGGATGNTTCTGAGTTCTAGCGTGAGCGAGGGCGTAGTTGATCATCTGAAGAGCAACGGGATCGACATTCGAAACGCTGGTTCCATAGAATCTGAGGGCCGAAGGAAAGAGAAGATAATGATTCTGGAACGGCACCCTCGATTGTAAGGTTCGAGCTGCCGTAGTTGCGGCTCTTCCGAGTCCAGCCGCGATTAGAAGCATTCCTTCTTTCTCTAAAATTCGCGGATTGAAGGGTTGTTCTGTTTGTGCTCCACTCTGCGTTGCGTTTTAGATAAAAAGACTCTTTGATTGAAAGTACTATTGTTCGTTCTCATAATCACAGATACAGCTTCTATTGCCCGCACGCATACATGATACAAGTGGTGGCAACTGGCAACTCTGGGCATAGAGCGACTCTTGAAGTTTCAACTTTCAACGTTAACTAGCGCTACTAGGATTAGGGTCTAAGGACATCAACGGGCCGGGTTCAGTACGGATTTCTCAGACTCTTCACCCCAACTCAATCACCCTAACCTAACTCGACCCTCTGAACCCTGATGTTCCCTAACGAACCCGACCCAATCCGACTCTATCATATCTATGTTTAGTACGGAAAAGTTAATTATATATATATATATGAATAAGCATTAATGATTTTTATTATTGTTTATAAAGTGCCATATTTTAAAATACTCATACAGTATACGGGTCCACATAAATTGACACTTGTATGTCAAACCCATAAAATTATATGGGTCACTAAATTCAACTTGAACCATTTATTACTTTAATTGAATCATTCTTCTTCTTTTTCTTCTTGTTATTTTATTTTAGTATTTAATTTAAATTTTTTGTTATATAATAATAATATTAATTAAATTTGTAATTATTTAAATATTTATTTAAAATATTTTTTCCAACCGACTATAATTATTGTATAATAGATTTGTTAATTCATATTTTGCATTTAAGAATAAACATTAATGATTTGGCTTAACAATTTTAATGACTRTTWATAAATATTGATTCTTATTTAAGGTTTAATTACTATATTCGGTAATTATTATGGGGCATGCTTTGAATAAACATTAATGACAATTGATGATTGCTATTTCGTTTTTTATTATTTACTTAATTAAGTACTTGATTATTATTATTATTATTATTATTAATTATTTTTATAAATATTGATTATTATTATTATTATTATTTACTTAATTCATTCATTTTCAACAAGTAATTATTTGACTTTATATGAATTATTTCATTTTTTAATTATTTATAATAGACATTTAGGGTAATCTATTTATTTTATTTAATAGACTTACCATGTTTTATCTAGACAATGATCCCATAGCCCATACTAAGTAAGGGTAACTACAGTATCATTTAATTTGAAATTTACTATTTAACAATCAAAAATCAATGTCCTGCTGAGCAACCCAACCCCAAAAAAAGTATCAATAACTTTGAAATCATTAATCTATTCATAAAATAGCAAAATTAGATGGATGTTTACAACAATGTCACCAATACTGCTTAATATTTAGGGACATATGAATGGATAAAAAGCATTTAAATGATATCCATTCAAAGAGGCAAAGAATGAAGAAAATCATTCAAATAGTTGTTAAGAAGAACAATTCATGTCAAACAACATTTGCAGATGCATCCACCCTCTAAAGTAAGAGATGAAAAATATATGACTACAATCAAATCATCATGTATGGCTACAATCAATTGATAATTTAATCAGAACTCCAAATCCCATCCAACAAAGAAAACATGAAAGAAAAGAGAATAATGGAACTATCCTAAGTATGGAAGTCTCCTCCAAGTTAGGTGGCAACACTTCTTTTGGTTGATCATGGTTATGGATTTTAAGTTTAAACTCCCCATAGTGCATGTAGACTGGCTATAATTTATCTTTAGGAAAAAGATAAGGAAACATGTACATAACATAATGGTATGTTTGAATTATGGGAGTTGGGAGATAGAAATAGGAAATATAGGTTGAAATTAGAATTTTGGGCATGTTGATGTGTCAAATTCAAGTCAATTAGAATACTCATAGATTTTTAGTTCATTCATTTAGTAGCAATTTGAATATTTTTTTATTCCATGTATTTGTTGAGTAATATAGATTAATAATATATAAATAGTTATGAAATCAATAATAATAATAAGTATATTATTATTACTATTATTTACTAATAATATAATCTTATTATGTGTGTATTGATTTTGAAATCAGTAATATTAAATTATTATTATTACTATTATTATTATTAAATAATTAATTTGTTATAATTATAATTTTTAGTTAATCCCTAAGATAATAATTGTTTTTATATTTCTCTTAGTTTAACAATAATGGATAATTGAAAGTTTATAATTTAACTTTAACCAAATGAAATATTTATTAGAGAATAATAATAGTATTAATTATAATTACTTATAATAATATTAATATAAATAAGTAACAATAATTCTATATTTATAAAATAATTATATGAATTAATATAAATATAAAATGATTTTATCCCAATTAGTAATTAACATTATTAAAATACTTATTAATTATCATTAATTAATTAACATTCYAAAGTAATAATTATCATTATTATAATTAAGGATACTTATATTAATTAATATAATTATATATTTATATTATTATTATCAATAATTATAATTAATTACTACTAATAATAATGATTTATGATAAAATTTAATTACTGATAATAATAATATAATTAATTATTTCATATAAATGTATGAATAATAATCCTGATAATAATTCTAATATAAATAATTAAAATTAATTTTTTTTTTCAAAATAATTAATACGAGTTAATATAAATATAAAATGATGGTTTTCGAATTATTAATTACCATTATGAAAATCGTTATTAATTACCATTCCAAATTAATAATGAGAAATATTATCAGTAATTATTATAAGAAATTATTATCAATGAGTTATTATTATTAGTAATTAATAGCTGAAATTAATTAATTAAAAGTCAATAATTATTATTAGTACTCATCTCTTTCAAAAAGTTACTCATCATCATCGTCACCACCAATACAACAACTTGATAAATACATAATTTGATAAAAATAGGTAAACATAATTAATTTTTTTTTCATCTTTTGAAAAAACTAAATAAGAGAAAAATAAAATGGTTAGCATTGCAAATGAAAATTTATTTGGATTTTTGCAAAAAAAAAATATTGAACATAAAAGCAATTATTCAAAAATAAGGTCGTTAATCAAGGAGTATTTAAAATTATTCAGTAAATAATAATTTTAAGAAATTAAAATTATTAATTAGTTATCTATCTGAATTAAAATGGGTAATTTCAGAAAATAATTTCAAGTAATTAAAATTTTCTATTAACGTTTTTTAATAATAATCAGTATTATTAATAGGTTAATAATATCTTAATAATTAGGAAATCAGTAATAATAATAAGTATATTATTATTATTTACTAATAATATATTCTTATTGTGTGTGTATTGATTTTGAAATCAGTAATATTAAAGTATTATTATTATTACTACTACTAACTATTATTATTATTATTATTATTATTTTTTATTAAGTAATTAATTTGTTATAAATACGTTTTTTAGTTAATTCATAAAATAATATTTGCTTTTATAATTCTTTAAGTTTAACAATATTGAATAATACAAAGTTTTATAATTTAACTTTCACTAAATGAAGTATTTATTAGAGAATAATAATAGTATTAATTATAATTACTTGTTATAATAATAATGTAAATAAGCTACACTAATTATATATTTATAAAATAATTAATATGAATTAATATAATATAAAATGATTATATCCCAATTAATAATTAACATTATTAAAATACTTATTAATTATCATTAATTAATTAATATTCCAAAATAATAATTATCATCATTAGTATTAGTAATAATTAATTATAATTATTGATAATAATAATATAATTATATTAACTAAAATAATATTATTAATTATAACTACTTATAATAATATAATTAATTATTTCATATAAATATATGAATTATAATTTCTGATAATAATTATAATATAAATAATTAACATTAAATATTTATTTTCAAAATAATTAATATGAGTTAATATAAATATAAAATGGTTATTTTTGAATTGTTAATTATCATTATGAAAATATTTATTAATTATCATTAATTAATCATCATTTCGAATTAATAATGAGCAATATTGTGAGTAATAAATTATCAATAATTCATTATTAGCAGTAATTATTATAATAAATATTTTTAAGTAATTAATTATTATCAGCGAGTAATTATTATTAGTAATTAATAGCTGAAATTAATTAATTAGAAGTAGTTAAAAGTAATTAATCAATAATTAACAATAATTATTATTAGTAATTAATAGTTGTAATTAATTAATTAGAAGTACTTAATAGTAATTATAATTAGTAATCAATAGATGAAATTAATTAATTAGTTTAGTAGTTAACATTAGTTAATAATACAGTTTCCTTTTTTTATGAAATTATTGAAAGTGGGAGCTTCCCACTTCTCACAACTCTGGTGGTAGGCTCCACTCTCCATGTTAGTAGGCTATTTTCTTGAACTACCACTAATCAGAATTTGGCATGTGTCTATTTTGTTTAAATCTTTGGAATGATAGGTGTGTAAATGTAAATGAACCACATGTCGTAGGGGGCTTTGGCCTGAAATCATTATTTTAATATATATATTAGATTTGGCTTGTCTATATTTTGAAAATCTAGAAAACATCAATTTAAATTGGAACTAGGGTCTGTATGATTGTAAAGGAAAATGAGTTTTTTGATTTGTGCTTTTCAGCTTAAAAGCACAAATCATATGCAAATCATTTGAACGTGATATCAGAACTTACGTTGTGTGTTTGGATAAGTTTCATTTGATTTGTGCTTTTAAGCTGAAAAGCAAAAAGCCTTCATTTTAGGCTTTGTGTTTTGG